TATATATATATATATATATATATATATATATACATCTCTTTGTGGGTATTGACTTATGAGAACATTCTGTCCCTAATACACTTTATGCAAGTCTTAAGAAAACAAAATAATAATAATATTTGTTTACTAAGGAGAGCAAGTGGCAAGTTTCAAATTATTTACATTATTGATTTGTCACCAAGTATTTTTTCATAGCATTGCTTTGTAGTAACCTTTGCATTAACCAGTAAAGTACAAACCAGAAAGTTTAGAAATATTACATTACACGTTGTTAGAAAGTATTTAGTATTTACACGAACACCCGGCTCCAATTGGATGCTTAGTACCATAATTGATATTTACACCTAGAAATTGTTTTTGAAATATATTAAAATAAGCCCTAATGCCCAAGTTCTCCTTACGTCATTTCCTTTAACAATGTACACCACCGAGACATCTTCTACAGCTCAGATGAAGTTGCAAAGATGAAAAACTTTGCAACAACGACAAAGTAAATAATTTCTGCGTATATGAATATATGTGAATGATATGAATTGTTTTGATGTTTTAAGCATTGATCTTGTGCAAATAATTGTGGCAATAAATGAACAGCAGAAAATGTCACATTTTTACACTTAATTGTTACATAATCACCATCATTATGAATATACAATCACTATTAATAATCTATTCAACTGTCAACAGGATGGTAGTTAAATGCATTCACACATTTCCCATCCTTGAGTCCAGAAGCTGCGCTTATTATCATATTATGTTTTATCTCTTCATATAGTTAAATACCACTAATTTATGTCAAGTTCCTTCTGAACTTTTCTTGAATCGATTTAGCAATATGAATCGCAAAATATGTTTTGATTGTATGGTACCAGTGTTGCATGCAGTACAGATGTGAGGGATGCATGATTAAACATGAGTTTATATAATATATGTTGCTTGATTTCTGGCATGCTTTCAAGTCCACAGCTCCCTGGTTATGAAAAATGTTTTGTAAGATCATTCGATATTTATTTATTACTGATAATCGAAAGGGTTGAGAGATAAGATGATTGATTAAATCATATTAAATCAATGCTAATGTTTACTTCCTTGAGCTGTTAACTTATTCTTGTTTAAACCCTGCTGTCTTTTCATAAAAAAAAAAATGCAGAAAACGTCGATTATTGATATACTGAGATATAAAATGCCAAAATACAAAGAAATCTTGGTGAGCATGATACGTATTGTTTTTATCTCTGTGACTGTTGATAAAATTAAAACTGCAGACCTTGATGAAAAATGTCTTACATGCAGGTCCATCAGGATTACATATGTTTATAAATTATTATAACAGATGCACTATACCATAAAAACTTAACTTAATGTAATGAAAAGTAAATGCATAAATAAAGATGTGTATATACCTTCTTAGGTAAATCTGGTCAGTATTGTGCTTTTATAGTTTTCAAGCATTGTAAAGCTGAACTATATTCATATGACCGGCTCTTTTAGATGGATTTCATCATGTTTCATGATAAAATTACAATATTGGTTCTGCAGCACGAGCCCCTCCACCGTCTCAGTAATTCACTGTTTTCAATTAATTTCATATGTAAACACAGAGCTACTCTCTTCTTCTGAATACAAAGAGCATTTAAACAATCCTATACAAGAGATATTTACAGTACATAACACAAAGGAATGACTTCCTTTTTGTGAACTCTTTTTCATTGAAGAAGCCAATGAAAGCCAATGAAGAAAGAAAGAAAGAAGCTGAATCAGGCTCAGACGGCATGCAGACGGCACAGACCGTTTGAAGTAGTGTTTACAAGATATTAGATTATACAAGTTAAGGAGATTTGCCAGATTTCCCAAAGACTGAGAGGTTCATAGCACTGAATCTGGACGATAGTTAAACGTTTTGTTTGAGGCAGTTAAACCAGACATCTTCCAGTGCAACTATATTGTCTGCTTTGATCTGTATGTTATATGTCTGAAATAATGTGTTATTAGTTTTGGATTGTTATAAGTTCTGATCACAATGCTGATCGCAATCTCCGTTAATGTTTCTGTACAACTGTTCACAGAGACGTCTGTGCCGTCGCTGTCAGATTTACCTGCGGTGATCAGCTTTGGGTCTGTTCCTCACACAAAGCAATCATTTGGCCTAGGAAGACTTGGAATATGTATAATTTTTGAACAAATTATTGTGACTCCACTCCTATTGTTTTATATTGAGAAATGGTTATGTTTCGGAGTAAGGGTTGTGTTAGGTGCTCAAAATGTCTAAATAGTGTAATATAAATAATCTGGGTAGCACTTTATTTTACAGTCCTGTTCCGCATGTACGTACCATATGCGTATTATAATAACTGGTAATAACTAGGTACTAACCCTGAACTGACCCCTAATCCTAACCTTAACCCATGTAGTTACTTTCTTGAGTAAGTACACATAATATAAAATAAAGAGTAATGATAATTTGGGATAAACAGAAAAAATAGTAACATTGATGTCATAATGAAAAAAATAACAAGGGTCTCAATAGTGATGAAGTGATGAATGCTGATAATTATCAGTATTCGGTGACTTCGGAGTGAGGACAGGTTGAGGCTACACACAATGGGCCAGTTTTACTAAACAGGGCAAATAAGTGCCGATGGGTGTGGAAATTTCTGCGGGTGATTTACTAACAACGCGCAAATTAAAGAACACAGACGGAACATCTCATTTACATATCGACCAACGCAATATACCAAGCGCAGCACAAATTAGCGTAGTCGCAAATAAAGAATAAAGAAATAAAGAAGGCACAGTACATTGAAAAGAACCGGAGGCCAAAAAATGAAGGGTTGCAAGAAGTTTAGATAGACCTGGTATTGCGTGACTCCTAGTTGAGGGTTCCAAGTCGTCTTTTATTTCCTGAAGCAAATTAAAAATAACATGGCTTGGCAAACGATATGTTCGGATAATGTGTTCTTCTGGCATTCTTAATAAATTAATACATGTGGAAAAAATCATCTCTGTTCTCTGCGGTGCCTCCTCCTAGCAACAACAAATGCAGCCATTTCAAGCGCAAAATAGTTTAAGACATGCTTTTTTGGGGGCGTTAAATAATGGCGCAAATACCAGTAATGTGACGAGCGAAAACGTTAGTAAAACGCGTTACACGATTCATTTTAATACTCTCCTCCCATAAATTTTGTGGCTGAAAGAGAAACTCCTACAAATGCATATTCAATAAATGTCAGGCGCAAACATAACTGGGTCCATGCCTTTTCAGCGCTAATTCTTCACTGCGCGTCTTTAGTAAATCCTGACAGTACTATTTTAACGCGGTTGCGCTGGCGCAAGCTGTTAGTAAAACTGGCCCAAGATGTCAAAGTGTAGCTGGTCAGTATCCGGTTAACCCATGCTGGGCTGCGTTTCCCAAAAGCATCGTAAGCTTAAGTACATCGTAGACCCACTGAAACTCATTGAGCTACGATCAACTTAAATGGATAGTTCACCCAAAAATGAAAATTCTGTCATTAATCACTCACCCTCGTGTCGTTCCAAACCCATAAGACCTTCGTTCATCTTCAGAACACTAATTAAGATTTTTTTTTATTTTTGAGAGCTCCATAGACAGCAATGTAATTAACACGATTAAAGTCGATAAAAACGCAGCAAGGAGATTGTTAAAATAATCCATGTGACATCAGTGGTTCAACCATAATTTTACGAAGCTACGAGAATACTTTTTGTGTGCAAAGAAAACAAAAATACCACCTTTATTCAACAATTCGTCTCCTCCACGTCACTCTATTGCGCCATTTTGGAGTGTATCACATACGTATATGTGGTGTATGCAACGTATGTACGCGGATACGCTGGTTACATTCAGATCAAAGTGTAAACATCGTAAACAGCACATCCGCGTACGTTGCTGCTGACACAGAACAGCATATGTTGTTTACGTATGTGAGACTCTCCAAAATGGCGCTATAGGGTGACACGGAGGAGACGAATTGTTGAATAAAGTCGTTATGATTAATGACAGAATTTCATTTTTGGGTGAACTATGCCTTTAAACTTACAATGCTTTTGGGAAACGCAGCCCTGGTAGATGTAACTATATCATTTTAAAGACAAAATGCATTCTTCTCCATTGATGGCTATTCGAAAGTAGACATATAATCTGATGTCAAATATGTATCATGTTTTGCAAGTGACATGCTTTTTTTTCTCAGAGTGTTTTTACAAACTTAATTTTTTCCTTGTCTGCTGCCATTCATGTCACAGCTCTGGATTATCACTACTCATTGAAGGCTCGGGACTGTGCATGTTCCTCTGCCTCTGTTCCTGCTATCAGCCAATAAGCATTGCGCTTTACTGCTGAATGCCAGTCAGTCACGTGACATTTACAGCTCAAGTGAACCGAGTGCTCATGAGAATGAGTGGGAATGCTAACGGAGAGATTAGCTGAAAAACAAATTAAAACTATGAGTGCGACCAAATTTGGGTTTGCGTTATTAGTAGTAATGCCTTCAATTTCCATAGCACGAAATTAAACATAATACAACCATCGTGGAAATATAAAGCCGGCTAAGGTGTGAGGATAAAATTTAGAGTACAGTATTTGAGTGAATAGTTTTATCAAAATAAATGAGCTTACGTAAAAGTGTATAATAAATTCTCTTGAATAAATAAACTATCATCTGTGAGTAGAGAAGTAGAAAATGCAGCCTTATGTTAAAACTATTCATAAGAGTCTCTTCACTCAATAGACCACGAAATCAAGAAAGATTACAAATAAAGGTATATAAATATTAAATTATCCAGTGCTGCTCTCTTAGAAATGGCTAAAAGGGGAAAGAACCGTGGACGTCCATGCTTTGATTTTTTTCGTTAGTATAAAGATAACGTTTTGATAATTTGCCAACAAAACAGATTCACCTAGTCCTAAAATAAATCAATTAAAAAGAAATCTATCAAACCAAATGCAAGCGCACTGAAAACGATTGATTTTTGGAGCAGGCACCATTTGTTCTTAACCTCTTTAGAGTATCAGCGTCAGCCAGAAATTAAGGTGAACCTAAGGTCAAAGAGAATTAGTCCTGATTTGAATTTGTCAACGTAAGTCCTGCTTGTATTGCAAAATCACACGGAAGAGTATACGGACATAAAAATAAGTGGCGCTTCTCAGACGGCTGAGAATCCAGCTAGTTGATATAATAAAGCCAATAGACGACGTTGAAGAAGGAAAACACGGTGGGGAAGATCATTCTCGACCACTTGTCGATTGAATTGACGTCAGTTAAGTCAGGGATGGTGATTTTAAGCTGTGAAGTGCGCCGCCGTAGTCGGCTCTTCTTCTGAGCCACGTGGCGTTCCAGCACATTGCGTCCAAAGTTGTGTCTGGCCAGGCCGGGTTTGCGATACTGCAGCGAGGTGCTGTCGAAGGCTAGCATGGTTGCACGCGGGTCACCCAAACCCAGGGTCAACTCTGATGTGCCCATTTCATTCTTGATCTCCAGAGGACTGAGAAGGATGTTTTCATGGGGGTCCATCTAAGACACAAAGACCCATCAATAGGTTAGTGCTGATAACAGTTTTCCTTTTTTTCCCCTTGTAACTTTTTATACTGTTAATGATTTAAATAGTCAGAACAAGCACAGATTGTTTCTAAAGGTTTTTCTTTCTTTTACGAAAATTGCACGGTTACACTTTATTTCCATAGTCCACTTTAGACAACTTGCAGTTGTGAGAAATAAAGTCAGGATTGCATGAAATAAACTCATAATTCTGCCTTTTTCCTCACAATTCAGACTTCTTTTCTGAGAATTGTGTGATATATAACTCACAATTGCTATTTATAAAGTCCGATTCTGAGGGAAAAAAATAAAAATCTTACAATATCGAGTTTATATTTCACAATTCTTACTTTATAACACACAATTCTGACTTTTTTTCTCAGAATCACATGAATAAACTCACAATTGTGAGTTATGAAGTCAGAATTGTGAGATAAAAAGTCGCAATTGTGAAAAATAAAGTCAAACTGCAAGATATAAACTCGCAGTTCTGACTTTTTATTGCAATTGCAAGTTTAAATACCTTTTTCTTGCAATTCAGATTTATTTTCTCAGAATTGTGTGATATAAATTTTGCAATTATAAGTTTCAATTCTGGTTCTTATTCTTACCATTGCAAGTTTATATATTACACATTTCTGACTTTATTTCTCAGAGCTGCTAGATTATTGATCATAATTCTGACCTGGGCTAACATGCAATTGTGAGTTTACAGAATTGTGACTTTTTTGTCAAAACAAGAAATCGAATGCTGACTTACTTATTGCTTTTCAAGAATGATTCTTTAAACTTTCAACACAGTATTTAACACATATCGAGACAAATCAACAAAGTGCCAGTAACACACAGTGGGAATGGTAAGACATGGTGGTACACATGATGGTATTTATGCTATATATTGCTACAAAATTATTAACTTTTGATGACAAATAATAGGGCATCACATTAGATGCTCAACTGAAATTTGGAAAAATCTAATAAATGAACAAAAAAGTAATTTTTCAATTGTTCTCCCTCAAAAACAGATCGCCTGTTCCTTTCTGAATTGTACTTTCAAAAGTTTTTTTTTTTTTTTAAATAGTATTGAAAATTTCAAAACATTTGTTTGGTTGAGTGGTTAGGAGGGAAAAGAGAGGTGATGATGACAATGGAGAAAAAATAGGTTGTGCTCTTAAAGAAATAATTCACCGAAAAAAACAAAACAAAAAAAAAACAACAGTCTGTCATGATTTCCTCACCCTCATGTTATTCTAAACCCGTCTGTCTTTTTTGGTTCACAAAATTAAAACAGAACACTGATGAGCTCCAATAGGACAAAAAAAAAGTACCATAAAAGTAGCCCATATGACTTGTGTAAAGTCATCTGAATACATACAATAGGTTTTTCATTAGACAACATGAGAGTGTTAAAATTATGACAGAATTTTCTGTTTGGGTCAACAATTATTTTAAGAGGAAACAAGGAATCGCAAAAAAAAAAAAAAAAGGCTGTTGACACTGACATCGATTTGTTGCGACAAAACCACCTGAAGTCATTTATTTAAAATCAGAGATGGCGATGTCCAGTGACATGAGCGTCAGCGATCGTTGCTTCAGTTTTATACAATTCTGTAGTGATGCAATGTGATTAAATCAATGTATTTGTAAACAACATTTAACATAAAAACACAATAGTTTGCAAAAATATTCTGAGAAGAAGTGAAGAACTACTTCAGAATATTAATATACTATTTTGGTGACAAAAGAAGGTCCCGTTAATCAATGTAAGTTAATGCATTAACATTAACAATGGACAATTCATTTGTTGCAGTTTTTAATGATTTTTTTGTTAACATTAGTTAATAATAACATGTCTATTCATTGGCTGTTTAGGTTAGCGCAGATACAGCTTTTGCAATTAAATTAAATTAAAATTAAAATTAAAATTAAAATTAAAATTAAAATTAAAATTAAATTAAATTAAATTAAATTAAATATGTTTTCCCAAATTTGTCATTGTTACTTTATATTAAGTAATGTATTTAAAGAGATTTTCAACCAGCTTTGTGTTGTTAAAACTATAGTAGCATATGTAACTTTTTTTGGTAACACTTTATTTTAAGGTGTCCTTGTTACACGTTACATGTACTTATTATTATAATAACAATACATTATGCATAATTACATGCAAGTCACCCTAAGCCAAGCCCTAATCCTAACCCTAACCATATAATAAGTACACATAGTAAATGAATATTACTCAGTAGTTAAATGTATAATTACACTGTAACAAGGACACCTTGAAATAAAGTAACTTTTTTTTTTTTTTGTATCACCACAGCGCTTTTTCTCTTGGTAACATTGATTCAAATCAAAATTATTTTAAAGTGTTACCACTATTTTTACAATTAGCCTTTTTATTACTGTGTAATCAGAGTTAAAGTTACTGTGCAGCTATTATAAACACTGGTAGTGTGTGAAGTTCAAACATACTTTGTTGGGATCCATTCTCATCCTTTCATTGTTGGCTGTGGAGGCTTTCTCTGCAGCTCTCTTCTGCCGCTGCGGTCCTCTGCCGAAGAAGATGTAGTTGACCAGCGCGTACTCCAGCAGAGCCAGGAAGACGAAGACGAAACAGCCCATCAGGTACATGTCAATGGCTTTGACATACGGGATCTTTGGAAGCGTCTCCCGCAAATGTGTGTTGATGGTGGTCATGGTCAGCACAGTGGTGATACCTGCGTTCAAAAGGGACTCATTGTTAAGAGTGCAAATCACAAGAAGTGGGTTCGGTTTAGCAACCATAATACTTGGAAGCAAGGATTTATAAATACTGACTGTTCAATCCCTTTCTGCATAACACTTTATTTAGACATTCAACTAACTATACGTAACTTTGTAGTCATTAGAGTATTAGTAGACTGTCTGCTCACAATTTATTTTGATGGTCCCACAACACACATTCTACTGACTTATAAGTAACTTCACTAATGCGTGTCAACATATTCTGCTAACCCTAATCTAAGAGTCGACTAATACTCTAATAAAACTGAATTAGAGAATGGCAATGAATGAGTTGACCTGTAGTTGCAAATGAATGAAAGTTAGTTGACATGTAGTTGCAAAGTTACTTAAAGCCCCCATGTGGTGAAAATCAAGTTTTTAACGTTGTTTATATGTGTATCTGGTCACACTTTAGTTTGGAGATCAGTTATCACTATTAACTAACTATTATCTACAACTTCTGCCTCAACAAATTCCTAATTTGCTGCTTATTAATAGTTAGTAAGGTAGTTGTTAGTTTGGGTATGGGGTGAGTTAAGGGATCTAAAATATGATCATGCAGAATAAGGCACTAATATGTGCTTTATAAGTATTATAAACAGACAATACGCTAGTTATATGCATGCTAAAAAGCAACTAGTGAGAACTGATCCCCAAACTAAAGTGTTACCATATATCTGGTATTTTTAATATGCTTAAAGACCGACCATGAGCAAATTCAACAGTCAACAGCATTGCTGAGTAGTTTATCCTTAAAACTGCAGTGTACCAAAATCAGTCTCAAAAACGCAGTTTGAATCTGCTTGTTTCCCAGTGTTACAAACATTTAACCAATCCCATCAACCTGTGGGGCGGGGCTTTTCATATCATTATCTCAACTCATCATAGGTTCTATTTACAACATGTTCTTGCAGCGTTGAGCAGCTTAGCCAATCACAGAAATATCTGTTGACTCCATGAGCGCACTGACCAATCAGAGGCGTTTAAGTAAAGATCCACTCAAAACACAGGAGTTTTGTTCAGTGCTGAGTTCTGCACGCTCGCGAATCCTCTCATTATAACAAAACAAAGTATCGATGCAATGTAATTTGAAGACATTCACTCATGGATTCACTCCCCTATAACTATTTATCTAGTACTGCCACTTGCCGTTGTGTAGCGTTCACTACTTCAGTTAACTGAGTGAAAGTGAAGCCAGTCTGAGCTGCTGTGATTGAGCGGAGGCGGGAACTAATTTGCATATTCATATAGATCCACGCATAGTAAATGAGGTGAGGGTGTAGAGTTACATTCAAGCCATTTTAAGACAAATTATTTTAATGGGGAAAACATTCAAATGTGTCATTTTGATTATCAAAGATGTGTTTTAAGGGATAACACTGCAATGATATTTTAATGTCTGAAGTGGACTATCAAAATAAAATGTAAAACTATTTTCTGTAAACTCCAAAAAGTGACTGCATGGTAAATAGTCTGGGGCAAAATGTGTTAAAGTGTTTATACATAACCATCTCTCAAGTTATACAAACATAAAAGGCTTTACGTTTTTAAGTGAAGCTGCCCATGCATTGATGTATTTTTATCCGAACAAATAAACATAAGAGTACACTGTAAGTTTGTTGCGTACTCTCACCGCATTCTGTGAACATCAAACCAGATCACCCTGAGCATGTCCTCATTTAGAAAGTTAGGTAAACATCTGTGCATGTGTGAGGGGGCTTTATCGCCATTCTTTTCTTTCAGCTGATGATTCAGATTCTTTCATTTGTATGATTTTTCATGCTTTCAGCTGGCGGAGTGGGAGTTGTGCACCTTAATCAGTGAAACACAAAGCCTGCCTCCAGCTAACCGGTGATTAACAAATAGTTGTCTTTTATGCATTGAAATATCCATTCAGTGTCATTCTGACAGTTTTCATGACATTAACTGTGGATCCTGTGACAGGTATTGCAGAGCTTACGAGGTGCGGAGTTATTATTCTCCATAAACCATTGTGTTTTTTATCATTATTACTAGCAGTATAGCTAAAGGTGATGCCACTAAAACATCTCACCCTTCTCTGTTCCCCATCATCACCTCTCTTGGCTGCTAAGCACTGTGAGTGTAATTTGCATATGGAACCAATTTAGACATCATTGAACTTGACCAATAGCACAGCAGATCCTGTCCTCCTCCTGCCGAGTGTTATTGGCTAAATCAGAGAATTATGCAGCTGATACTCTCTCGTGTGTTAATACATAGAGGAAAACTGCCCATTTTCTAGCTCTATCCATATAAATGCACATTTGCAATCAAATGCCTAATGATTCTAATCAGGATGAGCTTTAAACAGTAATATCTGCTCATTCTATACATGCACGCTCACTCTGCCTTCTGTTTAACGCTACAGCGGTTTTGCACTTGTGTGGATGAATGAGGCCAGGCCAGACAGCAATCACAAAGAGTGCTCTTTTATTCACACTGAGAAGCTTGCACGCTTGCTGCCTACATCAGCCTTACATAATCAGTGATGACGGAAAAAAGAGGAGGCTTACAAAACACAGAGAGAGAGAGAGAGAGAGAGAGAGAGAGAGACAGAGAGCGAGAGAGAGAGAATGTGTGGTGTAAAAAAAAGACAAAGGCAATCAAATAAGTAAGTATGTCTGTTACTATGCTTGATTAATGACTTTCAAAAAAAAGTATCTCGCAGGGTATTTGGGGTGAATCTCATGAAACCTGCTCATCTTTAATTTAAAAAAAAAGAAAGGCAAAATAAAGTGTTTATTTATGCTTTAATACAATAACTTTAAAGAACTAACTATTATATGTATATGTATGTATATATTAGTGCTGTCAAACGATTAATCGCGATTAATCGCATCCAAAATAAAAGTTTTTGTTTACATAATATAAGTGTGTGTACTGTGTATATTTATTATATTTATATAAATACACACACATGCATGTATATATATAAGAAAAAAGACGTTACGTTTATATATTTAATATATTTATATATAATATACATTTTATGAATATAAATATATACATGAAAGCATAATTCAGACTGATATAGCATCACAAATCATGTTTACTGCAGTCTTATCTCATATATTAGAAGTAAACATATATATATACATAATGAAAGTCACCAGCTGTGAGAGAGTTTTGTTAGATTAGCACCTACCTAAAGCAACTCTGGCAGCCGAGGCATCATAGTTGATCCAGAAGGATACCCAGGACAGGATGGTGATTAGGATGGAAGGCATGTAGGTCTGCAGAATGAAGTAGCCAATGTTTCTCTTCAGCTTGAAGCTCAGGGAGAGGCGAGGATATGAACCTGAATGAAAACAGCAATTAGCCCGATTCATAAAATGCTTTTTGTACATTTTAATAGCTTTTTATATTTTGCTTTAGAACCAGAATAAGTCCCACTCACGACTTCCTCCATTAATCATACCTAAGCATCTACGTAATTGCGTACTAGACTCTCTACTATATGTAATATCCACATTTGTGCATCGAGGCTTTTAATCTCATAGGATGAAAGTGATGCTTGAACATATGCAGATTATTACATATACAGTTTATTTAGATAATTAATATTTATTTATCTCTATATTGCCCTTAATAGGACAATACAGTGAAGGAAAGACGGGAATGATAAAGGAGAAGAGTAGAGGAGAGGATCAGGAAAAGACCTTAAAGCAAGAATTGTGTTACTGCATGTTGATACAATCTGAAAAGGTAAAAAATAAATAAATAACAATAAATCATTATGTGCATTAACATCACACTGCAAATGCAATGTAGTTACTTGAATTTCTGACTAGGCTTTGGCTCAAAATATGGCCTAAGATACACCACAAATGCATTACATAATTATAATTATACTTGTCTATTTATTAGGTTAGTCTTTGTACTATAATATTTAAGAAATGGTTAGGGTTAGGTTTAGTTATAGGAGATATAATGATGCATTGTAACTAAAATTATTGTCACTGTACATGTTTCTGCCATTTTTTTAACTATTTTAGATTCTAGAATGTCACAGCACATCATAATGCAGAAATGTTTTTTTATCTTGATCAGCACCTAGACTGAATGGCGTAGTCTTCTTGTTTAAAAACTTGCCAGCTTGGTAGAGCGGTTAAAGTTTAACATTAGCACACTGTCTTCATCCTCTTAGACATTCTGGACCAGACATTACTTAAAAAGACTGCGTCTGAAGCTAACTGACTTGCATGACAAATTCCTGAATATGAAAATGCAGTCAATGAATAAATCAAGTGGTCACACAACACTTTGTTAAATAACTTATAAGAACACCCTGTTTCTTGTTTTTAGTGTGTGTGTGTTTCATTCTCAGGTCAGGCACAGGTACAGCTGCTGGAGGCCTCAGATAACACCAGCCATGCCAAAACAAGAGGGTTCATCAACCTGGACATTAGTAGCTGCCCACTAGAGCCAGATGTTCTGGTAGTTAAGATATTTACAGTATATGTGCCTGAATGGGTGAAGTTTTTGACCTCAGAGTGCCCAAGTAAGGGGAGAAGTTGTAGAATTTATGCATTTGGGAACACCTATTTTAAGCTGCAAGTTGGTCTTTTCAGCAAGGTAAAGATATCCCCTAATCATATTTGTGACCCTGGACCAAAAAAAAAAACAGCCATAAGGGTCAATTTTTTTAAATTGAGATTTATATATCATATAAAAGCTGAATAAATAAGCTTTCCATCCATGTATGGTTTGTTAGGATAGGACAATATTTGGCCGAGATACAACTACACTCTTAAAAATAACGGTGCTTCACGATGCCATAGAACAACCTTTTTGTCTAAATGGCTCCTACCGCCATTGTGAGTGTACATGTATATGAATCATATTTTTAAGCATGCATAAATGCTATCAAACCGCTTAATTAATAAAATCAAAGGTCATGTATTGCCCATATCCTGACATCACTGTTATTGCATAATTAATAAAGAAATAAAACAGCTTATTGCCTCAGCTTATAACAATCTGCATAATCTTGCAATTTGCAGCCCATTACACAAATGAACACACACTTGCACAGCTAACTTAAGTTGATTAGTTAGTGACCCAAAAAACAAGATGTTTATGAAGCTATCTCGCAGCTGTGATGTTGCCACATAATACAACAATAAATTCTAGGGAAAATGCAAACTAAGCATGAGCATATTTTAGATCCTTCAGTCCTTTAATCCAAAGTGTGTCCAAAATTTGGTGATTTTATTTGCCCTCATGTCTTTCAAGCCCATATGGATTGAAAAAAAAAAAAAACTATTTTAAAGTAAAAATAAACATATAAAAAATAAAAGATGGATGGATGGATAGATAGATGATATACAGCTAGATAGATAGATAGATAGATAGATAATACACCAACGTGATCTCATGATAATTCGTATGTATTTTACGTAAAATGTGGTTCTATAAAACGTACATTTACGTACGTTTTTACAGGCACTAAAACGTACAATACTGACGTATTTTCAGCATTTAAACGTACAAATACTGACGTATTTTCAGCATTTAAACGTACAAAACTGACGTATTTTTAGCCTCTAAACGTACAAATACTTACGTATTTTCAGCCTCTAAACGTACAAATACTTACGTATTTTCAGCCTCTAAACGTACAAGATTAACAACATAAATTCTGCTCTGGATCACACAAACCTACTGTATTCCGCCAGAGAGGACTGCGGGTGCAACGCATCATTTGGATTACATTTGGTGCTGCTTTTGACATTTTTGCAATAAATAAATGATTGTAATTGCATTTATCTGTCTGTCATGTTTTTCTTATACTGTACAGAAATGTTTAGGTTTATAAGTAGGAGTGGAATTAGCGACTATAAAAATATTTTAATGCTATATTGTTACTAAAATGGTTATTTTCCTGCGTATTTCAGTCATTTGCGTTTTATATCCTTTTATACTCGCTATATGGGTAGGTTAGGTTTGGAGGTAGGTTAAGTGGTCTAAAAATCTAAATTGCGTATTAATAAAATGATAAAAATGCATATTCGCTATAAAATGGGTAGGTTTAGGTTTGGGGGTCTAAAAATCTAAATCGCTTATTGATAAAATTATAAAAATGCATCGTTTTGTGCTTGTAAATGTTACGTATTAATACCTATGTATAAACATGAGACCAGGCTGGATATACAGCTAGATAGATAGCTAGATAGATAGATTCAAGAAACTGGTTTGTGAAATGTTTGTATTGTTAATCCATGAATTAATTGTGTCCAGTCATTAATTACAGCAATTACCTGAAGATCCAGATTTAGCTTTCATCGCATTACGCTTTTGTGTTCAACAATCATTACATCACACAAACATAACATCATATTGTTTTGCAGGGAATAATGGCATTTGAGTGGTTGGTTGGGCCATTCAAAGCCACTTAACTCCATTATTTCTATGTCACTGAGCCTGACTTAGCAAATTAGCTTTTGCTAACATTTCTGTCAGGGCTCTTACATGACTGCATTTGAACTGCTCCGCTAGCTGTGAACCGCGTGCACAGGAGCTCCAGCATGAGGAGAAGGAAGAGCAATGGTGTTCGGGTAATTCTATAGTCATCTCTTATAAAACCGAGTAAACTTTGTTTTGAGCATTAGACAGCTTCTTAACTGAAACACAGCCTCAAAAACGGCTGATTTGGAAGGTTGTAACCTCCTTTCTAGCTTTGTTACTTTTAATAGGAAACAAAGTCTCAGCTTTCAAATTCTGTCAATTTTATCACACACCTTGGTTTTTGGTTCGGTTCAGTTCTGACGGCTTAGCACATCAGAGCATTTACAATTATTCTATGCTTAGGCGACAGGAACAGTAAGAGTTTAAAGAGAAAAAAATACGACTTTTTATTTCAATGCTTAATTTTACTTAAAAGCAAAATAAAAGTTCACTTGCACACAACCCTAGTGTACTTTATACTATAAAATAAATAAACGGTAGTAGGGATGCACTGATCTTAGTTTTTCATAGCAGATTCCAATTGCCTTTTTTTTATTGAGTTTATTTATTTTTTTCTACAAGAAAGAATGAAAATATAAGTAGCCTACATGAACAAGATGTTTATTAGCTCTATTACAGACCATATCAAATTAGAGGCAACTATGGCATTTTAATCACGATGTAGATTAAATCGTGTAAGAATTAATTTATTCCTTCTGTAATTATGCTATTAAATAAAATCATGTACGTTTGTTTTTGTTTTTTTGTATGTGTGACTGTGTGTTTTTTTATTGTATTGTATTTCTGAGCCTAAGACAAATTTCCCTCAGAGACAATAAAGTACTCCTTAACCTTAACGATCCAAACAAAGATGCTACACACATGTAGCATGAGCAGTTTTTGATTTCAATTAGATTGTATTATTTCAAAATTGGAAGCAAAAGCAAAATGGGCTGTCTATATATTTGTGAAAATATGCTAAATAAAACATAACTGCACTAAACTAAAACAGCAGACAGGCTTCATGAGACACAAATGCACTCTCTGCCAGCAGGTGGTGCTTATGGAACAGCAGCGATACAGCGTTTCCTTGGATACCTCTGTAAACAAAGCAGTGCTACGCTTATAAACACTACTTTAATATGCATTAAACAGACACAAGATGAAAATAAAATACCATCTACACTTTTCTGAAGACAGTCAGTTCCCCTCATCAATATATTCACATAAACCACCCACTCCTAATTCAATATTGAGGATTTTCTTGCAGTATTTCGCACATCGTAAATGATTGCAATGCAGTTTGTGCAATTCTGGAACAGAGATTGGCTGAAAATAACATTTAAAAAAAGAAATAAAATACACGAATGGTGTCTCAAATATCACTGCGTTACAGTGTGTACAACATGTTTACATGCATTACTATGCGCATAGTTTTAGTTGATGTAACAGTAAATATTATTGTAAAGCTAGACCTAGATAAGGCCTACACACAAATTAGTTTACGCCTAGCTAGTGCAACCGGCCCCTCAAGTGTGTGCTTGATGATTTTTGTTTTTCATGACTAGTCCCACAATGTTCTGGAATGTTCCAGAAAGCACTAGAATATTACAGAATTCTTCAGAAACTTCTAGAATGTTCAAATCTGTGCAAAAGCAAAATAATAATAATAAAAAATAGTATACAAAAACGTATCTGCACTAAACCAATGTTTCATAATTAATGAAGTTTTCAAATCTACCTGACCTAAATATTTACATGAAAATAAATCGCACAGTAATAGTAATGACAGCATCTTAGCAGAGCTTTGGAACAGAGTATAATGCCTGACAATGCTGCCTAGTTAGGCAGCTCAAAAAAGTTTTAAAACTCTTACTTATTTCATGACTTGTAATTTCGG